TGACATTAGGATTAAGAAAATTTATTAAAAGAGTGTTTAATATAAGAGATTATTCGTTATATACGATTATTCAAATCCATGTATGCAGAATTGTGGAATACCATGGGAGAAGTGGTGTTTCCAAATCCCACCTCTATGAGTTTGTCTAATCTCATGTAACAAATGATTACTCATGCTAAATACTATTTTAATGATTTTTCTCAATTGCAATCATAATTCCTATTCCTCATTTTTTATGCGTTGTGCCAAACGGGACCCATATTCATTCACACCTCATCTGAATAGAAATAGCAGAATATTAAAATCATCAATTTACTTGCAAGTTGGGACTCACGGGTTGATTAAACATTGTTACTAATTATTTTCTCACCCCATGACCTGTATGTGATGTGTGCTATGAAAACGATAAAGGATTTCGTGGCTTTTTAGGTTTATTGTATGTGATAATCTGCAATTAATTAAACACCGACTCCCTGCAATTTGAAAAATAAATAAATAAATAAAACTCTTCCTTTTCTGTCTTTTTTTGGCCCTTTTCTTAAAGTAACCTTAGTCAAATATGTGGATTTATTACAATTAGTTTTGACTTTTTAACTGCTTTTTTAATCTCTTAACTGCTTTTTTAATCTTTATACAATCATGTTGATCTAACACCTATACTTGTTTTCAAATGAAGAAAGTAATATTACCTCTAATTCTTAGTATAAAAGTTAGATAACTAATTTGCGGATATTAAGAAAATTAGTTAAGTTAGTTATTTGTAATAATCAGATGTTTTTTTTTCCATAATATCCTTATTAATCATGTGCATGGAAACTATATTTGATGGAAATCCCTTAACATGTCTAATTACTATAGGGATTACTTAGGAATAAAATGGATAAAAAAAATAAGATAAGATCCTCTATATAAGATCAACTTCAATTTTCAACAAGCGACCTTATATTAAGAACCAGGGGTAGCATAACAAAGGATGACCTTTCAACCAGACATCCAACAACCCCAATTTTTTTGTAAATTTGACTTTATTCACCAAATGAAACACTAAATAAGATAGTTTTGGAAATAATAAACTTATTACATGCAACGGATTTGTTATTTATAGCAATGAAATTGTACACTTAAAAATTACCAGTTCAAAAATCAAAACAAGAGACAAAATTGTCTGTTTAGTAAATGACAAATAAGCAATTTTAACTAAGAGCTATTTACTTAAAGCATTACCCGGTAATAAAAGAAGTGTAGACGCCATAGTCACTTTCCAAGTGATAAATTATATATACATTAAATTATATATACATTAGATGTCACAACACAACACACGACGTATTTATTTCTTGAAACCACTCTTTTAAGAGAAATTTGGTTAAAAGTATCTGTTTGAAAATATAATTGGTTAAAACAACATAATTTTGAGTGAGTACAACTATAATCCATAGGTGTAACTTTTCTTCTGCTATGTGCAACATATTATCAATGATGTGCAATAATAATTAATATGAAAGTCATGTGCACAAAGCTTCTTCAATGGGGTCGTATCATTTTGATCGGATCTGGAGACCACCTTTACAGCTTCGAACTCTTCTTAATAGTGATAGGAATTAATGCATAATGGTTTACTTTGTTAGATGTTTTTGTTTTTATCGGATACTTGACTATTGGCGTTGTATTGTGTTTTGTTGGAATGAATGTTTGGCAAAAGAATAAAAAGACAGCTAGCTTCTATATGCGACATAATCTTCATAATCAAACCTCATGTTATTGTGCCAGCCTTTGTTGACGCTAAACCTCCGTGATATCCGGTTCTACTTTGAATAAAAATAAGAGCTCGGAGACTTCACATGACTCTTCTATTTCATAATGATATAATAACAACTTGAAACCATAATTTTAGGATACTAGTTTCCGAATGAAGAATTGTTATGTGTTGCACCCTTCAATAAATATCTTAATGTGTTTTGTGCATATCAAACTCCATCTATTGCCTTTGGTTTTTGTTATAAGATTTTTTTTTTAATTTAAAAGACTGTTTATAACTCTGTTTTTGTAAAAAAAAAAAAGGTCTGTTAAATTATATGTTTGGTCCTACAAGTTTACATCAAGTTTCAGTTTAGTATTTCAAATTTATAAAATGTATTTTTAGTCCATTAATCCTAACACTTATAGTTTCATTTAACAAAAGTACTAATTCAAAAAATTTAAATGTTAGTTTTCAAAACGACATTAATTGAATTACACGTAATTTTGAAATTAAACTTTTTGAAATTTTGGAAAAATACATATAGGTCCTGAAAGATTAAGAATTCTCATTCCCAACATACAAGTACAGAAATTTGACATGCAAATGGGATTAAAAAATAGTTAATTTCTTACTGGGACATCTTTCTCTCTAAAATATTTTTACATGTATTTGATAAAATAAATTGTATTGTTCAGCTGCGTTGTCCATTTTACATTGAATTTACATGGATTATCTTTTGTAACTATTTATACAACACGTTAACTAAATCATTTTTTCCCAATTCATCTCATAGTTATTTTCAATTAGGACAAGACTACAACAATCCTGTCCTGATAATTAAGATAAGACGACCTCTAATTTGAAAGACAAAAAATATATAAACTCAAGATATTAACTAAAAGGCATAATATAACCCACAAAAAAAAAATTATAAACAACAAAATCATACAGACTATAATAATATTATTATAATGATAAGTGGATTATATTTAAAATTAAAAAAATACATCAAGACGGAATCGAGATGGAATGCCCTCATCCTGTCCCGACATTTTTGTCCCATTTCAAAACGGTTGGGATCATGACAGGATGTTAGGACAGGACACAATTGAACAACCACTACAAAAAAATAGACTTTAGGCGACGACTTTCGGCGGCGACAAAAAAAGTCGCCGCTGAAAGTCCACTTTCGGCGGCGACACCAAAAAGTCGCCGCTGAAACCAAAACTTTCAGCGGCAACAAAAGTGTCGCCGCCGAAAGTGGACTTTCAGCGGCGACTTTTCTAGTCGCCGCTGAAAGTTCGCCATTGAAACCAAGACTTTCAGCGGCGACAAAAGTGTCGCCGCTGAAAGTGGACCTTCAGCGGCGACTTTTTTTATCGCCGCCAAAAGTGGACTTTCAGCGGCGACTTTTTTTGTCGCCGCTGAAAGTATAATATAATAAATATATTTTATTTTACAATATTAATAAACAAATTGCCGAAAGTGGACCTTCAGCGGCGACTTTTTTTGTCGCCGCCGAAAGTGGACTTTCAGTGGCGACTTTTTTTGTCGCCGCCGAAAGTGGACTTTCAGCGGCGACTTTTTTTGTCGCCGCCGAAAGTAGACTTTCAGCGGCGACTTTTTTTGTCGCCGCTGAAAGTATAATATAATAATATATATTTTATTTTACAATATTAATAAACAAATTGCCGAAAATGGACCTTCAGCGGCGACTTTTTTGTCGCCGCCGAAAGTGGACCTTCAGCGACGACAAAAGTGTCGCCGCTGAAAGTGGACCTTCAGCGGCGACTTTTTTTGTCGCCGCTGAAAGTATAATATAATAATATATATTTTATTTTACAATATTAATAAACAAATTGCCGAAAATGGACCTTCAGCGGCGACTTTTTTTGTCGCCGCCGAAAGTGGACTTTCAGCGGCGACTTTTTTTGTCGCCGCTGAAAGTATAATATAATAATATATATTTTATTTTACAATATTAATAAACAAATTGCCGAAAATGGACCTTCAGCGGCGACTTTTTTTGTCGCCGCCGAAAGTGGACTTTCAGCGGCGACTTTTTTTGTCGCCGCTGAAAGTATAATATAATAATATATTTTATTTTACAATATTAATAAACAAATTGCCGAAAATGGACCTTCAGCGGCGACTTTTTTTGTCGCCGCCGAAAGTGGACCTTCAGCGGCGACTTTTTTTGTCGCCGCTGAAAGTATAATATAATAATATATATTTTATTTTACAATATTAATAAACAAATTCAATCTGGCTCAGCGGCAAGAAGGTTGGACACGAAGGGAGGCGGTCACGAGTTCGAACCTGGAAGAAGACACATTTAAGATGAAAATATTTAGACGATGACGTGGCGAGGAGGAGTGACGTGGCAATGACGTGGAGGTGGCTAGTGATGATGTGGCGGTCGGCGGTGATGACGTGGCCGCCGATGGCGATGACGTGGAGGTCGACGGTGCTGACGTGGCGGCCGGAGACGATGACGTGGCACCGGCGGCGATGACGTGGCATTGGTAAAGCCAATTCTTCTTAGGCATTACTTTCAGCGGCGACAAAAAAGTCGCCGCAGAAAACCCTTTCGGCGGCGACATTTGTCGCCGCTGAAAAGCCTTTCACCGGCGACAAAAAAGTCGCCGCGGAAAACCCTTTCGGCGGCGACTTTTTTGTCGCCGCTGAAAGGCTTTTCAGCGGCGACAAATGTCGCCGCCGAAAGGGTTTTCTGCGGCGACTTTTTTGTCGCCGCTGAAAGGCTTTTTAGCGGCGACAAATGTCGCCGCCGAAAGTGTTTTCGGCGGCGACATTTGTCGCTGCTGAAACTTTTAAAAGTCGCCGCTGAAAGTATCTTTTAACGGCGACCTTTTTAGTCGCCACTGAAAGTTTTCAGCCACGGCTGCTACGGCAACGACTTTTCAGCGGCGACTTGTCGCCGCAAAAAACTTTTGGCGGCGACTTTTGTACTTTCAGCGGCGACTTTTGTCGCCGCTGAAAGTCAATTTTTTTGTAGTGAACTCTAGTTTCTACTCTATTTTATTTATTTTTGATTGAGTCTTTCATACGCTATTATCTATTTCATACATCAGATCACCAAAAAAAAGAAAAACTATTACTGAAAAAAAACAAAATAAAAACTACGGTGTAATAAAATCACAACTCATTTCCATTACTAAAATGTAAAGCACTTCAATTAATACACAACAATCTCGACTATAAATATGCCTCCGTCTGCCTCCATCTTCACGCACAGAAACCAAAACATAACCAATTCACAAAAAGCATCATCAAGGAGTTAAATTTAAAGCTCTTGTTTCTTTTGCAATCGACAATGGCTCCCAAGTCCCTTGCATTTCTCCTCTCTCTCAACCTTCTTTTCTTCACAATGGTGAGCTCCACCTATGTGCCATCTTCAGGGGCTCACTGTCCCATTGATGCTCTCAAGTTGGGAGTGTGCGCCAATGTGTTGAATTTGGTGAATGTTAAGATTGGATCCCCACCAACACTCCCATGTTGCAGTCTCATTAAGGGTTTGGCTGATCTCGAAGTTGCCGCTTGCCTTTGTACTGCGCTCAAGGCTAATGTTCTGGGCCTCAACCTCAACGTTCCTGTTGCTCTTACTGTCATTCTCAACAACTGTGGAATGGACAACTCTGGCTTCAAGTGCCTTTAATTTAATTAAATGTTCATCAACAACATGATTATTATTGTTTATATGCCTTCATCAATCTGGTTCTCTGCTCTTTATTGTTATTGTTTTAATGGAGGGAATGGATTGTTGCTTATCTAATCCTTCCAGAAACTTTCAGTGTATTTGATGTTTGTTATATGAATATTGTATTAAAAAAAGTAATTGTTTCTAATTTATCAATTTATAGTCCATCTTGCAAATGGCATGAGGAAAAAATATCTAGCCTTCACTAGGGAAAAAGAGAGAGACTAATTTAAATAATTTACTACTACATTCTATTAATAAGGGTCGGCTTGGCTCTAATTAATTAATGAATCAATCATTAAAGTTGCTGAAATCGACTTCTAAGTTTGCATGGAAAAATTTTCCTGTAATGTTTGACAAGACCATGGTACTTCTCTGACAAAAAAGTAAAAAAGGACAAGACCATGGTACATTTTTTAGACGTTTAACTTTAAATCAGTCCAATTTAACCGACAAGTTCAAACCTAAAGGAATGAAGAAAGCATTAGTTGAATCGCAGTTTTGTGTAGTTAGTCTAAAGAAAAAAAGAAGTTGCAACTATATATTTCAACGAAACTCGTGATTGATATGTCCACCGGTGAAGGCTTCATAAAGAGGGAAATTTGATTTCTCTTCAAGTAGCATTCTGTATCACTTCATGAGGGAGAATATGCTTCTTTGCAAAACAAATTTGATTCCGAGAAAACCACAGGTAGTCAAAAAGAGAAAAACAAAAATATTTTATATAAATAAGTAGCGGTTTTTTCCTTGTGGTGCTGGGAGATCCAAAAAGATGTCCTATTAACGGACATACTGGAGCCATCATCAGATGAAAAAAATAAAACAAAATTAAAAAAAAATCGGTGGTTCCCCACAGATTTGAAATAAGTTGGTGGCAAAAGAAAAAAAGAAAAAAAAAGGAAAACCAATAGATATCTCCCATTCTAAAAGCAGAATGGAAGAAAAATGATTTACATGCATGTTGGAATTAACTTGCCTTCTTCGATAGTAAGAAGAAGGCGCCTTCAGCTTCGTAAAGGAATTCTTCAAGAGATGAGAGGGTTTAGATCTTCTCAGTTTTCTCATTCTCTTTTTCTTCTCGAAATCTGATATCCACCCTTAGATGAAAAATGGAAGGTGCAAATTTAGTATTTTATAATACTTTTATAAGCATAAATAAATAAATTTAAATTTTTCAAAGTTAACGCGCACAGTTTATACTGAGAGGAAAAGAGCAAAATAAAAAGGAGAGTATTTGCTTTTGAGCAGCTGGGTCTTCTACGACATTTCTATAATCTGTGGTCATTGTATAAAATTATTTATCGTGCTAGATACTCAAATGTCATTATTCAATTTTCATATTCATTCACACCTCATCAAATTAGAAATATCGGAATATTAGAATCATCAATCCACTTGCAAGTTGGGACTCACGGGTTGATCAAACATTATTATTATTATTTCCTCACCGCACATGACCTCTATGTGATGTGTGCAATGAAAATGAGAAACTATTTTGTTGCTTTATAGATTTGTTATCTGTGATGATCTGCAATTAATTTAAATCACCTGGAAAATTAAACACTGGCTCCCTGTAATTTAAAATAAATTCTTCCTTTTTTTTCTTTTTTCCCCTTTTAGTGTAATGATCACTGTATTTTATCCCCGAGGGGCAGCGTAGGTAGATCTCACAATTGTCATTTAAAATTTAGAAAATATTGTCGATGGTTTTTTTCTTAAAAAAAGAGGGTAACCTTAGTCATAATATTGTTCCCCCCCCCCCCCCAATATATTGACTATTTAACAGTTTTTTTTTTAAAATATGACTTTATTCACTAAATTTAAAACTATGTAAGTTAGTTTTGGAAACAATAAACTTATTACATCTTAATCCTTTTGGGCTTATAACAACGGATGTGCTATTTATAGCGATCAACTTGTACTGGTACAATTACCAGTTACCAACGTTCACAACAAGAGACAAAATCGTCAGTATAGTAAATGACATAATTTTTTTTTTTTTAAAACTTAAGAGCATCACACGATAAAAATATAGACGTCAGGATCACTTTCCAAATGATAAACTATATACATACACTGCATATCACAACACAACAGATGACCTTTTAAATTTATATGCACGCATGACAGCTAGCTTCTGGAGTCTAAAATATTTTGTTATTCCGCGGGGAGAAAAATGCAAATATCATATGTGCAACATAATCTTCATAATCAAACCTACATGATATCCGGTTTTACTTTGAATAAAAATTAAAGCTCGGTGAGTTCACGTCACGATCTCCAAACTAATACCACCTCCCGTCTATAATATAAGAATTATATAATTAATTTGTGAATATTAATAAAATTAGTTAAATTAGTTATATGTAATAAATAAGTTTTATCCTTTCAAAACACTTGTAATAAGTGTCATCTTTTCAAAACACCTTTATTAGTCATATGTATTTAAATTATCCATTGATAATAACTCCTTAACATGTGCAATTATTATAGGGATTACTTGATGGTAAAATAGATAAATATTGAAAACAAAGTAGATTGTAATCTTATATTTAAGAGCAAATTAAATTTTAAACTAACTTTTATATTAAGAACCAGACATAGTAACTCAAAAGCACCTCGGGAATAATATCTGGAAATCATAATTTTAGAATGCTAGTTTCAAAATATAAAATTGTTATGCGTGGTTGCAGTCTTCAACAAATATCATAATATATTTTTTTTGGCATATTAACACTCTGCCAGTTCTATATACAAAACTCTATCTATTATTGCTTTTGGTTTTTAATAAACTATTTTTTAAAATTATGTCAGCTAATAGGTTTACATCAATTTTCATTTTAGTCCTTTAAGTTTAAAAAATATATTTTTAGTCTGTTCATCTGAATACCATTAGTTTCATTTAATGAAAAATTCTAATTAAGCAAGTTTAAATGGAGAGTCTACAATATGCTACCAGAAAATGTTTATAATCATTCTTTTATTTTAAAATTAAAATAAACTTGCAGACTACCTTGTTTATTTCAATTTTCACAATTTAATATAACCATTTTATAACACACAAGTGATTCTATGCATGTTTTGCAAATATTTAATTCTAGATTTGTCATTTGAATTTGTTGAGTCATTATTTTCTATTAAATGATATCAACAATATTAAGTGACAAAAATTCACTTTATAAACTTAAGAAAAGTAGACTGAAACGTGAGGTAAATTTGGAATACTAAACATATATTTTAGCCAAAAATATCTTTATTTCTTTTAGTGTTAGCCTACGCCTTAAAGAATGACTTTAATTTAATAAAAGGTAATTGTCAAATTAAAGTTTTTAAAATTTTAAAAAGAAATAAAAATCTGCTCCAAATAAAAAAATTAGGTACTCACATTCCCAAGTACATGCAAATTTCACATGCAAATGGGATTAAAAAATAACATATCTCTTACTGGGACATGTATGTTCTCCACAAATTTGAAATAAGTTGGTGTTGGGGGGGGGGGGGGGGGACGAAAGACAATAGATATCCACCCTTCTAAAAGCAGAATGGAAGAAGAATGATTTACGTGCTGGAATTAACTTGCCTCAACCGAAAACAAAGAATAGGTGCACGAGCCCCTCCTCAGCTTCAAAGAAGAATCTTGAAGAGATCAAAAGGTCCTGATCTTCTCTCTCTCTCTCTCTCTCTGGTTTTTTTTTTTTTTTTCCTTTCTCAAAATCTCATATCCACCATTAGATTAAAACAATGGATGGTTCAAATTTAGTATCTTATAATATTTTTATAAACATAAATAAATTAACTTGAAGTGTTAAAATTTGACTTGTACAGTATATAACTTTATCACAAAAAAGTAGAAAACTTATAATATGCAAAATATTATCATAATAATTTTATAAAATATTCTATCTGAACTATCGATTTTCTTATCTAAAGGTGGGATAAGATGTTAACAAAAGGAAAAAGAGGAAAAGCATAGTATTTGCTTGAGCTGGGTTCTTCTATGACATTCCTATAATTTGTGGTTATTATATAAAATTATTCACAAAATTAAACACTAAATAAGTTAGTTTTGGAAATAATAAACTCATTACATCTTAATCTTTTTTGTCATATAATTAAATCACACGACAAAAGGAATAACATGCAACGGATTTGTCATTTATAGCAATGAACTTCTACAGTTACCACCTTAAAAATCAAAACAAGAGATAAAATTGTGAGTTTACAAATAACAAATAATGTACTTTTAACTAGTAGTTATTTACTTAAAGCATTCACCTCAAAAGAAGTTATTATCATATAAGAGCTATATAACTAATTAGAATATACTAAAAAAATTCATTAAATTAGTTATTTACATTGTAAATGAATGTTATCTTACCTAAAATATCATTATTAATCATGTGTATGCAAACTACTCCTTAATGAAAACTTTTTAACATATGTAATCGATATATAAATTACTTGGAGGTAAAATAATAAATATTAAACACAAAATAAATTGATGTTTCATACTTAGTACCAAATTGAATTTCCATTCAACTCTTAGGCTAGAGATCACAACACAACATATGACCTTTTAAATTATATATGCACATACAGCTAGCTTTTATACTCTAAAATGTTTTCTTATTCCGCGAGGAGAAAAATGCAAATATTATATATGCAACATAATCTTCATAATCATACCTCATGTTATTGTGCCGGCTTTTGTTGACAGTAATCCTCCATGATATCCGGTTTACTTTGAATAAAAATAAAAGTTCGGGGACTTCACATGACACTCCTAACTCATAATCATATAATAACGGATGCAACATAATTTTACGTTGTTATGCGTGCTTGCACCCTTCAACAAATATCTTAATGTGTTTATGCATACACTACTTTTTCTGGTTCTATATATAAAACTGCTTTTAATACAAGATTTTTTCCAAAAATTTAAAATAATGTTTATAATTATTTTTTAAAATGTTAGCTTAAATAAGGATTATAATTTAATTAAAGGTATTTTGAAAATAGAGTTTTTAAAATTCTGGAAAAATACATATGGTTCCCAAATAAAAAATTAATTACTCACATTCCCAACAACATACAAATACAAAACTTTGAAATGCACATATGATTAAAAAAGAGTTAATTTCTTACGGGGACATTTTTAATTATCCCTAAATATTTTAAATGACTTTGAGAAAATAAAATGGTATTGTTCAAATAACTGGTGCATTTTAAATTTATTTTACATTGATTATCTCTTATCCTATTTATACAACACATTAATTAAATCTCTTTCTTTCAATTCATCTCACAATTACTTTCAACTCTATTTTTTAAAACAAAATCACAACTCATTTCCATTAATAAATCGTTAAGCACATTAATTAATACACTACAATCTCACCTATAAATACACCTCCCTATGCCTCTTCATCTTCACAAACAAAAACCAATTCACAAAGGCATCATCAAGGAGTTAAATTAAAAGCTCTTGATTCTTTTGTGATAAAAAATGGCTTCCAAGTCCCTTGCCTTTCTCCTCTCTCTCAACCTTCTTTTCTTCACAATGGTGAGCTCCACCTACGTGCCATCTTCAGGGGCTCATTGTCCCATTGATGCTCTCAAGTTGGGAGTGTGCGCCAATGTGTTGAATTTGGTGAATGTTAAGATTGGATCCCCACCAACACTCCCATGTTGCAGTCTCATTAAAGGTTTGGCTGATCTCGAAGTTGCCGCTTGCCTTTGCACTGCCCTTAAGGCTAATGTTCTTGGCCTCAACCTCAACATTCCCATTGCTCTTAATGTCATTCTCAACAACTGTGGAATGAAAAACTCTGGCTTCCAGTGCTTTTAATTAAATTAAATATTCACCAACAACATGATTATTATTGTTTGTATGCTTTCTTCAATCTGGTTCACTGATTGATTGTTATTGCTTTAATGGAGGGAATAGATTATTGCTTATCTAATTCTTCCAAAAGCTTTCAGTGTATTTGATGTTTGTTATCTGAAAGTTGTTCTAATAAAAATAATTGTTTCTAATTTATCAATTTATTATCCAGGAGATTTTTATTGGGTTTTCTTCGCAGCTGTTTAGATTGCATGACTGAATAGTTATTTATTATATATCTCTTATTTTTCGTGATGTAACGATCATTGTCATTTTTTTATCGAGAGGGAAAATGGGCAGCACATGTCTAAACGACACGGGCATATCTCTAGCAGTTCTCATTTTAAATAGTATGACTTATATTTTAGCAAGATTAAATTCTAACATGGATTTGGCATTGCTACTTCGATTTTCTCTCACGAAATCAGATCAATATATAATTTTTTTTACACGGGTCGAAGAGCAACACGATATAATTATTTTAATAATAACACTTCTACACAAATAAATATCTATAAAATTAAAATCTACTAAATATTTTTCCGGTGGTGCTAAATAACACGGTAGTTTTTCAACGACGTGTAAAAATTTTTTTGAAGTTGGGAACCATCAAAACCAGAGATAGTAACACTTAAAGTTCCATCATTAAAAAAAAAAAAAAAGCACTTACAATTCACTTTCTGCCCGAAATAATGCCTGTTGTGTTTCAGATCTTTAAGAGAAAATTAGTGATAAGGACGAAAATACAAGTTTATTCGTAATTCGGAACCGTAAATTTAAATAATGATGGAAAAGGACCAAGATTCTAATTGCTTTGGAATAAACTTTCTTCTTACACTTTTTTCCCTTGAAGTGACATATCTAAATTAAAAATATGAACTTTATTTGAAATTCGTGATGTTAATTTTTAAATTTACTGGCTAATAAATTTCAAAATTATTTAAATTTATCTATATCGTAAAATTTTATTAATAGCTCCCTTTCCCTGGCTTGCTTTTGCTGGGAAAAAATTGTGAAATGGAATAAGCAATTTTGTCACTCGGGCGACACTCGCATTTGAGTTGGAATAAAAGGATTTGTAGTCCTCCGCCTTACTACTTGGCCATGCTGCCAAAATGATACTACTTTCAGTTTTAATTATAAGACCTCATTTGTAGACTACAAATGAAGTCTTATAATTAGAACCAGAGGTAGCACAAAAAAATATATGAGAATACCCCCGCCCCCAGCCAAAACCTAAAAAAGGGGTTCTAAAGTTCTTTTTTTTTTTTAATTTGTTTGCATCATCGATTCTGTTTTTCTTAATCCCTTTCTTAAAAGAGACCCTTCCCCCTTTTTCTATTGATATTTGGGGAAAAAAAACAAACAGTTATGTTATGGTCAGATTGATGATCATTATTGTATTATTTTCTAACGTAAAATGATTACATGATAACCATATTTGATTGCTGCCCTCAATATTTTAATGAAGGTGATTGTATTGTGATCCATATCCATCCTGAAAATCATTACAAAAACCCCTTCTAAAAAAAGATGTCAGCACAGTTCTGCAACCATTTTCAACCATGCCACCAGCCGAGGAACAAATTTGCTCCATTGTAGACAAACAAACTACTTTAATTTCACCTCTAGAACTAAAGCTTGCTCAAATCTTGAAAGAGCTCTACGCCCCTCTGGGGCAAGTTTTTTTTTTTTTTTTTCCGTAAGTAATGAGAAACTAAATGATGGAATTAAGAAAGAAAATGAAAGAAAAAAGAAGATTTGATCATTATTGGAAGATTTGAAAACATTTAAGATTTTGAAAATTTTTTTGTTATTTTTATTTCAGTAATCTTTCTAATAAGTGTAATATTTATTATTTGAAAAGATTAAATGATGTAATATTCTTTGTTATTTATAAAATGAAGGCTAAAGTGTACATTTGGTCTTTTAACTTTGTACAAGGTTTCAATTTGGTTCCTTAACTTTAAAAAGTATACTTTTAGTCCTTTAATCCTAAATTTTTTTTAAAAAAAGATGACATTAAGATTTTATATGTTGATAAAATATTCTCAAATGTTAGCATATGAAGTTTAATTTTCAAAAAATCCATGATTGTTACAAAAAATTATTATTGAAGCCTAATGATTTTACGGTTAAAGGACCAAATGTATGTTTTTTAAATTTAAGAGACTAAATTGAAACCTTAGACAAAATTAAAGGACCAAATATATACTTCAACCTAAAATAAAATACTATTGATCTAAATTGCCTTCTCTGTTTTGTGGTCTCTCTATTCTCTTTCCCTCCTCCTCTCCCTCCCCCTTCTCTTTCCACATTCTCTTTCCAGTTGTGCATCAATACTAGTATTGTTGACATTAATGTTTTGATGATGACAAAATTTTTATTTATAGTTCCCTAAACGATGCACATATACTTGATTGTTTTGTCCTACACCTCTGGGCCACATCCTATGTGCCGATGTCCTCTTAGCTCTCTTAATATGCGGTTGGACATGCTCTAGATAACTATTTTCCTCAACCGAGTCATTATCTGACCCAATTTCATAACTAGGGATTCTATCACAATTGCTTGAAGACATCTTGAAAATCCTAAAATTATTCCCGAGGTGCATCATGAACTCTTTTAAGGGGTATACTCGACTAAGTCACATCTTTCAAGTCTTCTAAGGCAATTAAGGTTCCTTTCCTAAGCTACTGAAAGCCTTTACTCTGATATAAAAAATGTAATATCTTACCTCTAGGACTCATTCCCATGTTTCCACAATCATAGAAAGCCATTCAAGTTTGTAAGAGACCAAAACATGAACTTTAAAAAACTTTTCTCTAAAACTCAATTTTTTTGGGAATTCTAAAAACTAACAGTCCTTTTTGAAAAACCATAACTAATTCTCATTTTAAAGATTGAAGAGTCTTTTACAGGGGAAAAATACTCAACTGGACTTCCACTGGCCAAATAATATAGTTTATGAGCACTGTAGCATCCAAATCTGTCCATTCTTGCCTCGTTAGAAAGATACATGCGTCTAGTATTTTACATAAAATTTTTACAGCAAAACCTTTCCATAAATAACGATAAATGGACAGCACTCTAATTTAGGTCACAGAAACAGCACTTGAAAGAATTCAACATACGTTCATGGCTACAAAATGCCAAAATCATAATCCATAGATAAACCTTACATGCAAAAGGGTAAATTCAAGGACACAACTATCCCAAAAACATCTCATAAGGATTAATACAAATTTTTTAACATAGTCTTCAAAATAAGCACATGCATGCATCAATAACAAAAAGATAACAAGCTTCCATTACTCAGCTACATTCTTTCCTTTCTCCATAGATGGACTTGGCCCTGAAATCTCAGTAGCACAAACCCATCATATACACAAACATGTTTGACATTGGATATAGATATTGCATCACCAACCTCTACATATAAGCATACATGTTCTTGCATGAGTATCTACATGTGTCCATAGTTTATACATAAGCAAAGAACCATATAAGCACTTTGCCATGCTTTCATCTTGCCAAGCTAAACATTATCACAATATTCAAATAATGCTTGAAGTATAAGAGGGGTAAGTAACTACCTTAAAGCTTTAAGACTTCCTTGTAATTCTACCTTTGAAGAACACCCTAGAGCTTCCAAGAAAACTCGAGACCTGTCTTCCTCCTCTCTTGCTTATAAGTGGTGAAAATATGTGCCCCGGAGGGGGGGGGGGTGGAAGAGATGTGCTACTTATAAAGGTAATGAGGGTTTGCATTCAAGACAATTCACCTACCTTCTTGACCGACCCATGAAGCCTCTACTTTGGCCAATCCATGAAGCCACCTTCTTTGGCCAATCATATTATTTTATTTTATTTTTTTCACTTTATTAATTATTTCATTTGTATTATGGTTATATATTTTATTCTTGGCCCAAAAAGGCCCATTTACTAGGCCCAATTCATTATTGGGTTTTCATTATTGGATTTTATGATTAACACTTAATTAAGTTCAGCTTAGTGAATCCTATCAACCTCTAACTCTCTGAGGAAAATCTTCCAAAAAATTCATATATCTCATAGTCAAGATACTTTCCTTAACCGCATAAACTAACATATCAAACTAAGAACACAATCTTAGACTATTAAAATTTGAGACGTTACAGCTTGAACCTTAATCCACTAAGGGTGAAATAGGTATAACTACGGCAGATATTAGATTTTATGGTCTAATCTCTTTCTCTTCCTTCTTCTATATCAGATGTTTAGCTTTAACTGTACCATGGACATACTACAAAAAAATTGATTTTCAGCGGTGATAAAGTATAAAAGTCACCACTAAAAGTTTTTAGTGGCGACAAAGTCATTGCTGTAGCGACTATGGTTGAAAACTTTTAGTGGTGACATTTGTCATCACTAAAAGCTACTTTTGACGGTGACCTTATTGTTGCTGCTAAAAGAACTTTTGGCGGCGACCCCAAAAGTGACTTTCAGCAATGACTTTTTTGTTGCCACTGAAAGTAATGCCTAAAAAACATTGACTTTAATGACGCCATGTCATCACTGGCCACCTTTACCTTATTGTTGTTGGTCACCACATTATCACTAACCGGACACCACGTTATCACTAGCCACCTCCATGTCATCGTCAGCCACCTTCATGCTGTTACCATATCACCACTCTCATGCCATGACACCCCTCCCTATCATGTCACTGCCCAAATATTTTCACCTTAGATGTGTCTTATTCAAGGTTCAAACTCGTGACCACCTCCTTTTGTGTTCAATCTTCTTGCCGTTGAGCTGGGTTAAATTTGTTTATTATTATCGTAAAATAAAATATATATTATTATATTGTACAAAAGCAGTGACATTAGTAAGTTGCCACTGAAAGTCAGACCTTCAGCGGCGACACTCTGAAAGTCCACTTTCAGCAACGACACTTTGCCACTAAAAGTAAGACTTTCAGCAATGACAAAAA